CAGAAGAGCAGCCCGATGCACAAGGTATCTCGCGTTCATGCAAGGTTCGGAAAAGGGCCGTCATTCCAAGGGGTATGATGTAGACAATCTACCCTAATGCAAACATTAGTGGCTACTTTCACGGCTCGAACCCGTGAGCTAAAGAAAAACAAAATTATTGAACAAGAGTATTAAGACAGACAATATCTTTTGTAAATGAATCTTCTTCACTTGTTATGTTTCCTAAGATGAACATCTTATATAACAAAACTTAGACAACTTTGTTTATTCAGTACTCCACGGACAACTCACCTTCTAAGTTGCTCCGACACGATAGTTTAGGTGCCGCATTCGTGCCGACACTACACTAGTATGGGTGTGAGTATGGGATCCGTACTAGATTTGGTCAAATAATTTTGGGAACTTTGACTACGACAAACCAAAAAATTTCAGACGAGATATAATTTGATTCCCGAATTTAAAACCAAACTAGGATAAATTTTAAGAAAATAGCATATTTTATCTAGGAAATCAATCCTTTTGTTTATCTACAATTGGAGAATAAAAAAGAAATCCACACTTTACAAGCTATACATAAATCTTCCACAAAATTTCTCATAATTCAGAGATATTTTTATTTTTTTGAATTATTTTTAGCCGGATCCCCGCACCGGTATCCGTACTAGGATCCATATCCCCTAATCTTAGAATTTACATTTTAAGGATCCGACCTCTAAATCTTCACCCATGTCGAATACCCGCACCCGTATCCGAGCAACTTAGCTCAGCATCACACGTCCAAATATTGACTAGTAAATCAATATTATGAAAACATGTTATCTATCAATCTTAGAATCTAAGATTGCACATGATTTGTTGAGTCATCAACCGATCTGCACTTGTGGTAGGATCAAGTTGTTGCCTTTTGATATGAATATAACTATGTCAATCTATAACACATTGTCATTCACATTCATTTCCATCTCTAAATTCCAATTGCTTTGAGTTTCTACCACTCTTTTCTGCTTCAATTTCTCCTTTACACAACATGTCAACCTCAAACTCTAGTTATGTTGACTTTAGCGATGTTGAATTCTCAAAAATTGACACTGATATTCTCATGTCATTTCTCGAAGAATCAGAGATTGAAGAAAGTAATGAAGAAAAGATCAAAACTGTGATCTTGTCTTTGGAAGCAGAGATCACGCCTGTCCTGATCACTGATTCTAATTCGTTAAAGCATATTGAAGCAGATTGTCATGACTCGAATGATTTCCAATTATATGATATTGCTAGTGAAGAGGAGAGTTGTTCAACATCATTTGATCTTGAATTTGAATGGACTGATTCAGAAATGGAATTTATAGACACGAGAGATTTTTCTCAAATGTATGATAGAGTTATGTTAATGGAGGACCATGGTCATCACACTTCCTTTTCGGAAGAAACATGTGAATCTATGCTTTATGAATAGTGTTACAAATCATCTTTATGTAATGGTGTAGCAAAGCGACACTTCTTGTAAATTCTCATTTTTTGATATATAATGTATGAGATGAGTGTCTACCAGAAACAGTGTTATATATCTCCAACGCTTTATATATATCTTTTGGCAACTGCATGTTGAATTAACAGAGTAACTTTTGGGTCATGAACACAAAGCTAAATAATATTAATGAAATATTTTTGTAGCAAAGCTACCTTGGATGTAAAATTTCAGATACAAAAATTGTGAATCACGTCCAACGGATTTTAATACTATAAGTACAATTTCACCGCTTATAGCAGATTATTACCCTACTTTCCAAATTACGTACGTATCAAATTTATTATGAAGAGTCACATGTTATTAATTGTTAATTTTGTTAGGTGTTTTCCATAATTTTTTTACCATATTTGGTTTTCCTATTTGTTAAAGGAAAAGGGCAATATAATTACCTTAATTGGGTTTTCCTTTTTTGTAAAAGGAAATTATAAATTCTTCCATATTTGGCTAGTCCCTTTTCTTGTAGGAAAAGGTTTGGAGTTCTATAAATTGAGGATCCGCCCTTCTCATTCAGTAGAATCCACAATGTAGCCATATGGGGCTTGAGAGTCTTGTTTAGGGGGAGAACTTTACGAGACAAGTGTTAGTGTGTCACTTGTGTTTGCCTCTTCGTGAGGTTGTTCTCTCAATATTTGTACTCTCTTTTTATTATAGTGGATTGCTCATCTCCGCCCTGGACGTACTTCAGTTGACCGAACCACGTTAAATGTTTGTGTCTCTTTTGGTAGATTTCTCCTTTGTTGTCTGATTTATCGTCGTTGAAGGTTTGCTTTGCTAGCTTCCGCATGACACCTGATTTGTCCAGTCCTAACAAGTGGTATCAGAGCGAGGTTCAAGACAGGTTCATCTTGGCGGGTTCAGTTCTAGCCGCAACATATTTGACGATAATCATAATTTTTGTCTGAGAAATTTGACCAGAGTGCTACGCACGTTAAGACAAACTTTGTGGTGGAGATATGGAGATGCGACCTGTTGAAGGCTATGTGAATAAGGTGGATCAAGTTTATTGTGTCAGAAAATTCAAGCCAAGGGGGAGAATTGTTAGGTGTTTGCCATAATTTTCTTACCATATTTGGTTTTCCTATTTGTTAAAGGAAAAGGGCAATATAATTACCTTAATTGGGTTTTCCTTTTTTGTAAAAGGAAATTATAAATTCTTCCATATTTGGCTAGTCCCTTTTCTTGTAGGAAAAGGTTTGGAGTTCTATAAATTGAGGATCCGCCCTTCTCATTCAGTAGCATCCACAATGTAGCCATATGGGGCTTGAGAGTCTTGTTTAGGTGGAGAACTTTACGAGACAAGTGTTAGTGTGTCACTTGTGTTTGCCTCTTCGTGAGGTTGTTCTCTCGATATTTGTACTCTCTTTTTATTATAGTGGATTGCTCATCTCCACCGTGGACGTAGGTCAGTTGACCGAACCATGTTAAATGTTTGTGTCTATTTTGGTAGATTTCTCCTTTGTTGTCTGATTTATCGTCGTTGAAGGTTTGCTATGCTAGCTTCCGCATGACACCTGATTTTTCCGGTCCTAACAAATTTAACCTAACAGTGTAAAAAAAATTATATCTTCTTGTTAGAGAAAGTACTTATTCCAAGCATAGGTTGATTAAAAAAAAAAAAAAAAAAAAAAAAAAAGGATAAGATTTCTTTATCAATATATATTGAAATTTAGTAAAAATTTACTTGTACATGACGTTTATACCATGTTAGCAAATGCATGACATTTTGTCTTTCATACACACTTTTACTATTTTTTGTTTGGTAACTAAACTTTTGTATTAATCACCAAGTAAGATATGTACAAGAAATATAACACGGCTGCAACCTGTTATCTCATTAAAATAAAATCTACCCTAACAGAGAGCTAATTTAGAATTAAAGGGCCCGTTTGGGCATAAGAAAAGATTTTTTTTTTCTGAAATTCTTTTTCACTTTTTTCCGAAATCATGTTTGGTCATGAAAATTTCAAATTTTACCTGAAGTTGAATTTCGTAATTTTTCGGAATTAAAAAAATTAATTTTCACTTCAAAGCTCTCACAAAAATTCAAAAACCGCTCAAAATTGTATTCATATCCAAGCACAACTCTAATTTTCAAATACCATTTTCAACTTGAAAATAGTTTACTTTTTTCCGCAATTTCACAATTCTTATGTCCAAACGCCCACTAAATCTGTGGACAACATTTTGTATTCTAGGGGGTGCTCTCAATGTTTTAAAAGGCGAGGGCGTGAGTCGAGGCGTTTTACCTCTGACGAGGCGAGGCGTAAGCCTTGAGACATGGGGCGTACGTCCCACGGATCTTTAAATTTTATTAATTTCAAGAATTTTAAAATAGTATAAAATAAAAAATAATGATAAAAATTTCATTAAAATAACAAAATAATAACAAAAAATCTATTTAAAATATTTATAAATTATAATTCAACTATGAATTATACGAAAAGTATGACATATATGATAATATGCAAATTAGTTGCAACGTCGTTACAACTCAAACATCAAAAGTAATGTATTCGATACGAAAACTTATATGTATCTATTAAGGAGTAATGAATCTTAAAAGAATTTCGATACTATAATTTGATATTTTTCTTAAAATACTCTTCTTATTTAATATTCTTTCTATTTGAAAGAGAATTTATATAAAAACATAATTCACAATTTAAATATGATTCTCTAGCATCATTTATTTTTAAGTTTCAACAAGTTAATAAAGTGACACATAATTCACCATACAATACCATGATAACTAATTATTTGTAAGGAGTTACTAGCTAATACTGAGCTATTAAATTAATAAGCATTGTTTCTCGTAAACGTGAAAAAAATAATATTTAAAAAAATAATTATAAAAAAATTTATGGACTATTGTTATATAGTAAAGACATAACAAAAGTTAATAAATAAATACCTTTTTTATGAAAGATTTATTTAAAGTTTACTATTACAGTAGTCTTAGTAGATAACATGCAATAATTTAAGTTTTAATTATGGCCTAAAATACTCTCAACTTAATAATTTTTAATTAAGAAAGTAATTTTGAATAGTCAACGGTTTATTAAGAAAATTTGAGTACAAGGTTAGTTACATACAATTGCATAAAGTTCTATTAGGCGAGCCCAGTACGTTGGGCGTGTCAGGGGTGTAAGCCCCGATGGCTGAGGCGTAAGTCTCACGGAACAAAGCCCCGCACATAAGCCCAGGGGCGTTTTACGAGTGCTCCGCACCGGGACGAGCCCCGAACGAGTCCCAATTCTACCTTTTAAAACAGAGGGTGCTCTAACATTAAAGACTATTGCAATCTCTATTGTTAAGAGATATGTATTGTCATTTTATATTTTAACTGTTAAATTAAATTATTTGGTTCGATGTAAACATATGATGTTGATAAGTATTTACCATCAAAGCTTATAATTTCCTACTTTGGGTATATATTGCAATTATAAGTAACGTTCCAATTGTTTAAGGTATCCTGTGTGCACCCTTATCATTCTTCTCTAGAAAAACCAAACATGCAAAATCTCATAAACCCATATAAAACAATGTTCTTAGTTCGTTTTCTCTCTTATAGACCCATTATCCACAGATTAATCTTTCAATCTCCACTATATTGTCCACCTTCACGTCCATTTTCATCATCTCAAATACAAAAATCTGATGACATCAACCTTGTCAACTACAAAGATTGGTTAAGCCCAAATGAGATCATCAAAATTTTCCAAAATCTAAAAGACCCAAATTCAGCTCTAAATTTACTGAATCAAATCTCAAAACGAAAAGATTATAAACCCAATGAAGCCATTTACAGTGTAGTTGTCAAAAACCTAGCAATGGCTAAGAATTTTGATGCAATTGAGACACTTATGGAAAAGATCAAATTTGAAAGAAAGTGTAGACTTTCTGATGAGTTTTTCTATAATGTTATTAAGATTTATGGGCATTTAGCTGGTAGAATTAATAGAGCAATTGAGACCCTTTTTGATATGCCTAATTATAAGTGCTGGCCAAGTGTGAGAACTTTCAACTTTGTTCTGAATTTGTTAGTGAATACTAAACAATTTGATGTTGTTCATAAGGTGTATATTCGTGCTTCTGAGTTGGGGGTTGAGATTGATGCTTGTTGTTTGAATATCATCATTAAAGGGTTGTGTCGTTGTGGGGAGCTTGATGCTGCATTCAAGGTGTTCGATGAATTTCCTAAACAAAAATGTCAACCCAGTGTGAGGACTTTTTCTACTATAATGCACGCTTTATGCGAGCGTGGTCGCATTGATGAGGCTTTGGGCTTGTTAGAGAGGATGGAAAAGGAGGATGTTGCGCCGGATGCTATCATGTTTAACACGTTGATTTCGGGGCTCAGGAAGCAAGGAAGAGCTGACGAGGGGATTGAGATGTTTAAGAAAGTAATGCTGAAAGGTTGTGATCCGAATCCAGGGACATATCAGGAAGTATTGTATGCTTTGCTTGATGCTAAGAGGTATTTGGAGGCGAGAAATTTTATGGCTGTTATGATTGATAAGAGGGTGAATCCAAGTTTTGAGTCTTATAAGCTGTTGATACATGGCCTTTGTAATGGGATGCTTCTTGGTGATTTAGACTGGGCGTTGAGGCAGATGGTGAGACACGGATTTGTGCCGAGGATGGGTATGTGGAGGCAGATTCTTGGTTGCTTGTTTCCCGATGGAGATTGTTGTACTACCTGTTCTTATGAAGAAATTCTTGCAGACTAATCTACAAGCGTTGGAAACATAATGGAACGGTATTACAAGTCCCTAAATACATTAAATCTAGTATGTTAAAGTTGCAGAGAAATGGTTGAAAGCATAGGTTCTATATGATTCATAGCTCTAGCTCATAGCAGCCATGACTCCCAACTTTGTCAATGCATAACTCTAGCTCATAATTCAGTTACATTTCTGCTAGGGTTACTTTCTCTTCTTTGGGCTCCCCTGTTCATGTCCTGGGGAACATAACTTCTTCCCGACCTAGTCACCCCATGAGCAGCCTCGCCTTCCATCATCTTGGCTTTTCCTTTTGACAGTTTTTTATACAAGGATTATTTTCAGGGATTATTGTGCGAGCAAGGAAGGCGAGTAAAGATGAAGAAAATGCTCAAAAGAATGCAAAAATTGAAGAATTTGGACTCAAGGAACGAAGAAGAGCAAAAGTGCGGCCTGCAGAAGAAAATGCGGACACAAGAAATATTTTGCGGACTGAATATTAGGTAGTGCCTGTTGTATGGTTACATGGAGCTTTGCTTCACCTGGGGTGCATGGCAATGCAATTTTTGTTCTTCTTTGGCAGAGGTTAAGGTGCAACGTGCAGATATCTGAAGAAACATTTGCAGAAAAACAAATCGACTTTAGCAGCTGAGGCTTGAGAGTGTAAGAACCAAATATTCCGAATTCCAACTACAGCAACTGCAACTTGAAGATTCATAGAGTTGGAGAAAACCTGACATGAATTTTAGGAGATCGCGAAAGTTTCCCCCCTCCCCCTTGAGTTGTAGGTGCACCCAAACTAACATGACTCAAAAAGGCATTTGAGTTTTGAGGACTTTTTGTAAGGTATGATTTCTTCCTTTGCTAAGTTAGTTAGATATTTATATTTCAAATATACTAGTAAGTAATATTTATATTTCAAAGAAAATTATACTCATTGATAGGGGTACACACACAATGCGCCCTATGACTAGTATATACATTATTATTATTTTTGGTAAAAACAGTGAAGTATTACCATAGACAAACCAAATATTTACACCTAGAGAGCACTTCAGAGAATTTAACCACCTTCTTTTATATATATATATATATATATATATATATAAAACCTTCTTTCTTGGGACGGAAGTTATATGAGATCTATATATATATATATATATATATATATATATATATATATATATATAAAACCTTCTTTCTTGGGACGGAAGTTATATGAGATCTATATATATATATATATATATATATAT